TGCCTCTACAAACGCCTGGGGCGTCATGGCTGAACAATCAAGGGAGTCACCACGCCTTTCTAAGGTGCGGCGAGGAGGCACAAGTGAACCAACCAGCGAAGAGCCCGGCTGCGGCAACTGACCTGGGTTCGTCATCGATGGTTTCGCTGAGCTCGCCGGGGTGGCCGCGATGGTCTCACCGATAGGTCCAGTCAGGGCAGGCGCCAGCATTGGGGCTTGATCAACTGGTCGAACTGCCGGTCCATCGATCAATGGCGGCACCACAGCTGCTGCCACCTCCTCGAGAGGGTTGTGGCACTGCAATGCCGAGGACTCAGGCTTGACCAAAGCTCGCTCCTTCCGGAACAAAGGGCTCTCGCAAACGAGGTGGACATTGATCGGGTTTGATTCCACAGCGATCGCTGACACACGCGGCCCCGTCTCGCGCTCTGTTGGCGCTTCCGTAGCCGCCGTCCACTGAGCATGGATCGCCGCTTGGCATTTCTCATGAGAATAGGCCCCGACCTGCACCGAGCTGGCTGCGATGTCCAATCTGTCACCTGCGCTGAGAAAGCGGAGTTCCAGACGATCTGCATCAGCCCCCAGTGAATCAGGGGATGCTGTAGCCACGAAGCGGCATTCCACGTGACAGTGTGGAAAATCCAATGCCACGTGCCACCTTCGGAACATGCGTAGATCTGACCGCCTACCTCCCAGGCGACCGCCACCACGCGCCAGCCCTGGAAGATCGTCACCACAAAGGCCGGGATGAACACCGTTTCGGCCAAAATGTTGTTGATCGCGTCGGCGGTGTGCCATAACTGAATGTTGCAGTCACGGTCTGAACGGTACCCCCTTAGCTCGAAGTGGCAAAGAAGATGGCCTTCAAGCTTCACCTTGACATCGACCCAGGTGGGTGAGTTCTCGGTCATCTGAGGCCACCTGAACGGTTGAAAGGCGCTATGGCTGAGGACCTCCGGTGAGGCTGTCCCAACGAGCACAAGGGGCATTACCATAGCTGGTCATGGAGGCACAGATCGTGACCTTCACCCCGTCGAGCGTCTTGGCCATGAACAGGCTGAAGTGGTAGCCACTGGTAGGTGCCCTGACGAGGTTGCGATCCGATCGAATGTTGGTGTAGGCCAAGGCATTGGTCAGCACCTCATCCAAGAGCCAGCCTTGGAATGGCGATTGCACCCTGCAGTCACGGCCATCCACGATCAGCACTGACCGCTCATTCTCATTGCCTCCGATCTGGGACAGGTGATCAGGCAACTGAGCATTCAAAGCATTGTGAGCTAAGTTGCCAGGTGCCATCTGCCCCCAACGAACTCCCCTCCTCCCTCGACGAGCTGCTTGCTCCAGCTGTCTCCTCAAACGACGTGACATAGGTGGCTCATTGGCGTGATCCAGCAATCCTCGAGCAGCTTGGTTCACAGGAGCCGTGTTCTGAGCAGGAGCTGGAGCTTGAGGTGGCGGGGGCGGCATACTCTTCGGCTGTGGTTCGAGAGGCGTCTCACCTTGAGCACTCGGTTGACTCGAGCTAGGCTGTTGATCCAAAGGAGCCTGCTCAGGCACTGGAGCAAGTGAAGGATCCTGAACAAGTGGAACTTCCAAATCGACTGGAGCCCACGAAGACGAAGAAGATGAGTCATCCCAACGTCCACTGGCGTTCGCCACCTGTCGTTGCATAGCTGAAGGGATCCCTAGTCCAGGCGGTGGAGCCTTCCGAGCTGGCGGTGCCTTACGATCTGAAGTCGCCATGAAACGAATCGCCCAGGCCCTAGTGCTGAAAAGCTAACCAGGTGTTCTCAACCTGGCGATACGTCGAGTGGCGACTGCTCGCCAAAATGGCAGCGATGAGATATCGCATTCATTGAAAAATATAACAAACAAAGCTGAACACTTTATCTAAAAAGTCCCTAGCATGTTCCAGGCCCACCTAACCGAAAACATGCTCACAAACATTGCTTTTATGATTCTTATGTGTATATGCAGTTCCGGGGATCCTTCATGCAAAAAGAAAAGAAACCGTACCTTTGAGCAGGAACCATGAAAGCCCTCCTTGCTGGGAAGCTTCGTAGAGCTTCTTGTAGGTAGAAGAGCTTGGTCGGCCACAGGCCAAGAAAATGAACCTCCGACCCACGTTGCGCTCTGGCAACTTCAAACTCTCCTCCGCATAGGTCCGCACCGCATCCGCTGTGGGCTGTGACCCTAACCTCAGCCATCGAATGCCAATGAACAGTATAACACAGCGATGCTGAAAGCGTTGGATCCTATATGGCTGCAAAGCACATCAAAAAAATGTTATATAAAGAAAACAAACATCGTCAAACATCCAAGCCAGGAACATCACCAGCACCAGTTGATCTTCAGCTTCCAGCATCACTGGGTTCTTGCCTTTCAGAAACTCTTCTTCCACAGGAAGCTGTGCCTTGAGGCGAATCGCCGTAGCGGTTTCTGGTGAGGGCAACTCATCTTTCCTTGTAAAGCCGAAGCTCACGGGCATGAACTTCTCCATCTTGATCTGCTGCTGGGGAACACCTGAGAGCTTTTCCAGCTCCTTGACCCCACCACGGCTTGGAGCCAAGGTGTGTAAGTATAAACGCCTCGTGAAGGTGCTGGACAATTGTCTCAGCTTGGTTAGAGGACCAAAAAAGTGCACGGCCTGCCGCAGGGTGACAGTGAAGTGGCTAACAAGCTGGATTGGGAATCATCTTTAGCACGTTGTCACCACTAGCTTGGGTGTCTTATTCTTGTTTTTCAGGAAGGGTGCAAACAAACCACGGCTCTAGGTCCCGCTTAACTGTAGTGCCAACGTAGCATGCAAGTACCATCAAATGCGGAAAACATCAGACACCTCGAGCCTCTGGGGTTGGCAGGTCAGTCATGTAGAGGTCGATGCCAGCTGAGACATCCTCAGCTGCATCCAGCAAGGATTGCAGGAACAAGGGTTGCGTGGAAATCAGCCTTGTTGGGGGTTGCTGATAGCCAAATGTACTTTCTTTGATCAATGACTTCATGTAGTTTCGGCATTGGGAGCCAAAAGCCATGTCGGCCACCGGTTGATAGGATACCAGTTCTTTGAGGCCTTTGATGTTACCGGCTTGTTGCTTGGAATTCCACTGCGCAGTCATGAAGTCACCGAGTGAGATATAGCCGTTTCCATCCAAGCTGGTACAGGGCGACTTCATCAGATCCACCAGTTCCACAGCTGATTTTTGTTGTACCTGCAAAAGTGCAGCTTTTGCGAGCTTCAGGGCATGAGGCTTCAATGATCCTTGATACCTCCGAAGTAGCTCCATGGCCAACATATAGCTTCCATCCAACTCTTCAATCAGTGTTTGCTGCAAGTTCTTGGCAGCCACCAAATGCCCACCTCCACCACTGCTTGTAACGACAAGAAACCAGGTCTCCACTGCATGGTTGAAGGTTCGAATGGCATTTAGGCATCCTGTCCTTGATTCATCTGTATCTGCCACGCATGCATCTTCACTCAGGGTCTTTGGCTGACACGTGCCGCTACATTCCAGACCAAACGCACAATAGCCACTGGCACATCTGGATCCTCGCGGAAGATTGGCATTTGAACCGTCCAGTTCGCCTGTAATGTGTCGCAGAAGCTCTGCCTGCTCTTCCAGACTCATGCTTTTTGTGGAATGCTTGTCGGGGCGGAAAAGAGTCCACTCTGTGCTGATTCGTCGGAATGACACGTTGCGCCATGCATTTAAAACCTCACATCGAACTGTGGGATCTTCACAAAGACCCTGGCTGGCATTTGACGTTCGCAATCCAAGTAAAGGATAATTTAGAAATGAGGGCAGTGGGATTTGCTCCTCGTGGGGCACCTCTTTGATGATTGCCCCTGTCTCAAAGTCAACAAGCCAGTCTGCATGGGAGGAATAGAGAACGCGCTTCTCGAACCGTTCGAAGGCCTTGTGGTGTGACCCACGACTCATCTCCACCAAAATGCTTTTCTCAACATCTTCCTCACACAAGTCCTTCAAGGCTCCTTTGTCCCTACCCGAAAGCCAGAGCAAGGAAGGCAGAAATGTTCCACCCACAAAGCTCTGGACACCAGCATGTGGGCTGAAGAGCGAAATAAAGGCTTGAGGCCTGGCTTGGTTTGGTTTCTTGGCTTCAATCTCGGTTGCAGCCAATCTGCCCACAAGCCCACCAAGAGAATGACCTATCAACGTGTAACGAGTGTATCGCCGTGACTTGTCTCCACTCAGCAGCTGCAACACCTCGTCAGCTACTCGGTGGCCTTGGGCCTTGAGCGGCTCCCTGGTAGCAGCCCCTAAATTGGATGCTAAGACTACCACCATGGCGCGGCGAGCAAAGTTGGCACTGCAAAGACCCTCAACCAAAGATCGTTGTCCCTCACCAGAGGCATCGTAGCCTTAACAAAGGCATCGTTGTCCCCTAGTAGCGTCCTTGCTCCTAGTAGTAAGGCCAGGAGCCCCTAGTAGCGTCCTTGCTCCTAGTAGTAAGGCCAGGATTTATGTTGAAGCTTGTCTTCTTTACTAAATACTCGACCACTTGGGTGCCTCAAAAGACATTTGTTCCGGCCAAATCTTCTATTGCAGCCACCTATATATTCTAAAGAAAGCGGGTTTCAACTCTCGTTATATAATTACTTACAGCAGATTGTCCGCGATCTTTCTCCCACTGTGCCTGAAACAATGGCAATCAGTTGCCAATCATCGTCTTGGGCTGCGTCACTTTGGTGAGAAGAGCATTGGATTCGCTCGCGTGCATCTGTGAGGGCGTGCTCTGCGCGCAAAGCCTGACCTAATCCAGCCAGGGCAACAAATAGAGCACCGTTCAAAGAGCGCATCATGGCGATTTGTGGAACGCAATGATTTAACAAAGCTAGTTGTTTGAGCCTTCTTCGGCTGCATCACAAGAAACCAAAATTTTGCTCTGCGCAGGCTGTGCACAGTCTCGGCTGAGACAAAACAACATCCGAGGGCCAAGTGAAATAGCCTTCCACTCAACTAGATCTGCAATTTCTGTGCCTCCAATCCTTGCTTTGCTGCTTCGTCAAGGAAAGGCTTATGGTCCTCCAGAACAGATTGGCTGGCTACTCTTGGGAACCCACTAAATGCAACATCACCTGGATCGCATGAGTTTAAAGGAACAAACACGTAGGTAAGTTCAAAGGCAAGGAACGGGCGTCATGAAAACATGAATGTCAAAAGCCACATGATGAATCAAGATATGCAGCGCCACGGCTTATGGTTCCCAAAGACTTTACTTGCTTGCCCACTCACCCTGTTTTCTCAAGCTGTTTTAGAGAGTGCAGCTCTACAATACGAAACGACATGAAACACCGCAGGTGAAACTGAGCTGCGACATTGATAGTTTCACCAAGTTGATGGCCGCTCGAAGTTTTGAACTCTGCTCATGCAACAAGGAAGAGCTTCGCGAGAGCCAGCGCGCACATTATTTTTGAGTCATCTGACAGTCATCTGAGTCTGAGTCGTCCAAGTCTTCAAGCGTCCAGAGAATCTCGTAAGTCTCCCCACATCATTCTAGACTCGAATGCAACATGATGAAAGAGAAGGTACGGGCCCCTTCAATAAGGCCCCTTTTAAAAGAGCCTTATTCCCGAATGCGTAGCAAAGGGTTCTCGATTGACTTTGGGAGTCTGAGGGTAGAGCCACATGGTTCTTTGTTGTTTAAAGCCTAGCAACCAGAACGTTCGCCACCTCAACAATGTTCACAGCAGGAAAGAAGTGTTTAAGGTCGGCCCTCAGCTTTGTGGTGGTCGCAAGCGTTTTACGCTTAGACTTGTCATCGTTCAAAAACTGGCCATACAAAGTGTCCCAAAGTTTGGTTTGCCGCATCGCCAGTTGCAGAACATTCAAAACAGCTTGCCTCGTCCACCCCAATATGTGTCATCAATAGAAGCTGTACAGCGTAAGCCGTTGAATTATCAAAGGGGCCTTTACCATCTTTTCCTCATCTCTTCTTTCGTAAGTCCAAGCACTGTTTTGCCAGACGAGCCTCGCGAGGATCGTTCCCATAAAGACGTACCTAAATGTGAATAGGCTGCACATATTTAGTGATCTAAATTACCACGGCTTTTAGCGAAAATGAGCAAAATAACCCAAGGGAGAGCTCAGATTCCAGCTGCGTTGGCTCCCACCTTTTTCATAATTTCCAGGTCTCCTCTTCCAGAAGAACTCCACTGCGCCTTTGCAGATTGCTTTCGGTGGCTCTGCAGCTCGCAATGCTCTGCCCCAGACAAAACTCCAACATGAATTCTGTCCAGTCTGATCTATCACAACTACTTCACACTCCACACTCTATATAAGATACTTCAATCCCAGGAATTTACACTGGCTGCCAGTTCACGTGCCTTCGCGGAGGGCGCCATGAAGTCATCGTTTGGGAGCTTCCCTGCTCCCTCCAGAGACACACACTGCCACGACATGTTGAACCAATCTTTCACTATGCGCCTTCAAGGGCGCAGGGCCGTAGCTGATGCCTTTCAATAGTTCCTTCACACACTTCTCCAAAGAAACAGGTCATGTGTCACAAGGAAATGGCGGCCAAACTTCTGGTTTTGGCTCAAAAAAATTAACATGTTGGTCTGGTTTTGATCCCAGCTTGCATTGTGTCCTTGCCAGCGGTGGCCCTTATCCTGCACAAAACACAAACACAGAAAGAAAAATTCCCTGCTTAATTTCAGCTTCAGCCCTGACCTTGCAAGAATCAGCAGAAGCAGTTGCAAAGCTTTTGCCATGCCCTGAAAGCTGCCACAGGGCGCTCCAAACATTTCGGACAGCACAGTGTCACAGGATGTCACAGGATGTCACAGGATGTCACAGGCACAAGAACCACAGAATCAGGGCGCCTTTGGGAGCGGCTGGAGGTGTCGAACACTTTGAGATTAAGAGTTGGAGGAGCTGGAGGTGTCGTGAAAGACCACTCTTAGAGTCTCTCTTCATTCTAAACAAACACTGTAGCTCACTCCGCTTGCATTCAAGGCTTGGGGGTAAAGATTGGCACCTGAACTCAAGCCTTGCTCTGATTGTGTTCAAATTCTTGGGATCGAAATGGCAGCGAAACCCACTTTGGACTGAGCTGTGTGGAGCTTCAACCTCCCCATAACCAACGGATTGTTTTTAGGAAAATGATGCGTGACAAAAAGTTCTTCTTTAAATCTTTAATGTAGGTTTTGGAATGGTCTGTCAGAAATCAATTTGTTAGGACGATGTCCGCAAAAAGTAATGTTCGATTCAGACAAACTGCTCTCCCATTTACCAAGTCAAAAGGGATGTTCACCGACAGTCTGACCGACCGACTGTCGGGTCCAACTCCGCTTTGCAATGCTTTTTTGAACGAGGGCAGGTTCTGACGGTGAGCCACCTCCACGCCTTTCTCACTCACTCGCCATGCCCTCGGAAAACTTTGCATTGTGGAAAACAGCACATGCTGAGAATCCCAAAAACAACAACAAGATTGCCCTTTGTCAATGCTCCGGAAAATGTTCCAGCGTGTCAAAATGCTCTTTGTTGCCCATTGTCTATAATGAATCGGGGTAGTGCCTACTCTTCTCAATCCAGAAGAGCTTCAACCAACATATCCCAGGCAAGATTCCGGCCGCATCCCTTTCAGGATCGAAGCGCAGGTGCAGTCCAGGACACGAAGCCTTGCCATTGGTCCCAAAAACACTCGCAAAGTGAACAAAAACCTGGAAGTCAAATTGGTGCCCCATGCAAGTTGTAGCAGATTTGCTGCAGCTACTTGATTTGATTGCCACTTGAGACCTGTCTAGCCTCTTGATGTGCAAATCCAAACGACCCAAGTTGCAGCACAGACAGTGCATGGGGAACCTACAAAAACTTTATGTCTACAACATTCGAGCAAAGCGTCTGGACATCCCGGAAGCCGAAGAATTGTCCTCAGGCTCATCCGCTTGCCGAAAGGCATCCGCCTGACGGAGTGTGGAACAAAAGAAATCAATTTCAGGGAAACGGGGTGGCCAGATACTGTCTTTTGACCCATGACGCATGACGCCAGGTCGCATCAATTTTTGCATGTGGAAGAACGAAATCTGTTTACCTTTAATGTTCAAACGACCCATGGACTGAAGTCATGTTTCTTTTAGTATGTGGCCCATGCACTGCCATGTCACATTATCGTCCTTCGTCGCCCAACCTGAGCCAAAAAGTTTGGGCCACCGAGCCCGCTGTCCATCCATTCCCATCTCGCCTTCGACAAAGGAGCTACACCCATCAACGAAGAAGGACCTTCATCTGGTGTTGCAGGCTCTGGCTGCACCGGCAAAGGTTGCCCTTCTTCAGGCCTGCAGGACTAGAATCAATTTTTCAGCAAGCGAATGAGTATCACAAAGGTTTAGAAGGCACATTTTTTGCAAACAAGCTACGATGAGTGAGTAGATACTGATTTGAAGCGCAAACACCGTTCAAAAAGAAATACTGCACCCTGGAGGAAATCGATCAAGCCCCGACAGTGGAACTGCAACAGCATGAGTTCCAAAACTCGACTATACATGGCGCCTAATAAGATATATACAGAAATTCACCAAAAAACACCTCGGCATGAACCTGGCAAATAGAAAATGAAACCATTGTAATTTCACCAACAAGTGTTGCGTCTTTGCCCGACAATGCGGTCTTCAAAGGCGTGAGCCTTTTCAACACGCCATGCGAGCATGCTAACACGGCAATACGTCGCGCGAATTTCGCATCTCAACGGGACAGCACACCAGCGTGACCCATGCCAGCACCTCCACGTGACAACATGTCATCATGACAGCCTGACAACACGTCGGCGTGACGCCACGCAAGCACATTGGGCGTGACACGCCAATGATATGAACGTGATTACACGTCCGCGTGCCGACATTACACGTCACACCAACGCACCACCACGTCGGGCATTACCGTGGCTACACCTTAGATACAGACACGGGGAGCACTCCATACCCGAAACTGATCCCGAACTTCGACCACCACAACCTGCTCTGGAAACTCCGAACCCTCCTCTGGAACCTCCCCAGAACCTGTTGCCAGAACTTCCTCCAGAACATGCTCCTGAAACCTGGTTCGCAACCTGCTCCGGAACATGCTCCGCAACTTGCTCCACTGAACCTGCTCTGGACCCTGCTCCAGAACCTGCTCGGGAACCTGCCGCGCGAACTTGCCCTTGATCCAAAACCTGCTTGCTCCGGAACACCCTCCCAGGTTCCAGAGCAGGTTCTGCACCTGCTCCGGAACTTCTTCCAGAACTCGCTCCAGACCCTGCTCCAGAACTTGCTCCGGAACCTCTTCCAGGACCTGCTCTGATCTCTTTGGAAATCTTTACTATGGCTGAAGAACCCAAGCTTTGCTCTTGGGGACAAGAGTGAATACGCAACCTTCTGCGCGCTAAGGCGCATACATGAAAGCGCACACACGAGAGCGCTCACAAACACACATATGAGCGCAAGCATTTGAGAGCAAGAGCATATGACAGCGGAGTGCGCAATGGAGAGCACGCATTTGTCGGCAAACACATGAAAGCACAAATATGAGGGCGCAGGTTGGAGTCACCACACACATTACCATAGAAAACAGCACGTCTGCGAGAATGCACACAAGGGAACGCACACATGGGAGCACCCATCTGAAAGGGAACGCAAAGCACAAACATATGAGAACACGCGTAATAAAGGCACACCCGTGAGAACACACATCAGAGCACACATGCAGGAGCACACACGTAATGAGCGCACACACAGGAGAGCACACACAAAAGAGCACACATATGAGCGCGCGCGCACGCGCACATATGCGGGAGCACACGCCCACATATGAAGGCCCTTTGAAGTTCACAAAACGCTTCACCTGCCACGACATCTGCACTCTGCGTTTGCCTAAACGCTGCGCGTGCTCCATGCACGTCGAGGCTCACAAAGCGTTGCGCACGCTCTGAAACAGGCTTCCAAAGCACTGCGCCTGCCACGACATCTGCATGTCGAAGTTCGCACAGCGTGCAACATCTGCACTTTCGAGGTTTACGAGGCGCTGTACCTGCCACGAAGTTTCAAGACGTTCATTCAGCGTTTCGCCTGCCACGAAATAATCTTGAAAGCGCCGCGCCGCAGCTGCCATGAAATCTGAACATCAAGAACAAAGCGCTCCCAAAGACACGCTAGAGATGTCACAAGCAAGCTAGTGAGCCACAAAGTTCCTGACTCGTTGCACCAGAGCACGCCAAAGTCCAAAGCGCTGCGCACGCAACAAAAATGCACATCAATCAAAATAAAAATGCTCTGATCCCTTGCGTCTGCCATATGGACTGGACCAAGACCAGGAATTCCGTCGCACCCGCCACGAAAAGTGACCAACAAGAGAGAAAGCGCTTGCTTCGGACTGCCATTTTGCGTGACCCTGCGCAGTTCAAGTGCGCTTGGAAGATCTTGAGATGCATGAATGTACTGACGCGTGCACCCTCAATTGCCCAGCCTTAACCCTTACCGAAAGAACCCCTGATGTGACCCTCCCAGTTCCAAGTGGTGCCTGGAAAGCCCTTCTGAGATTTCAGGCGCCCACTCGGCAACGTCCTCCGTGAGGGGCACTCGAGGGCCCTGCGCCCAGAAGTTGGCAGTAACTTTGGTCAAGTACCTGAGACCGAAACGAACCCAACTTGCACGCGTATACCGACCAGGTTCAAATCATGAGAAAAAGGGTGCACCTTGACCAGGATCTGAGGACCGTAAAACAATGATGGCTGAATTGCACGGCACCAATGGACAATGTGTTCCATTTTTGACTGGGGCCGCGCCATCTGTGAAAAGAGTCAGAGTGATACTGCGCAGGTTCGTTTCTCAAGTTCCTGCTGATGAGGTGCGCAGACACGTTCCGAACCTCCTCGCCCCTCTGTTGCACTTTCTGCAAGTGGAACTTAGCCTCATGGGAACAAAGGAAGCAAAATCTATCAAAATGGTCGCTGGACACAGAACCCTTCCAGCTTTACAAACACGATCCTTGGACTCGCTTTGGGCCTCCTGTGCTGGAAGCTTCAGAACCTCTTGAAAGACCTTCTCATCGATCTGAAGAGAGCGTAGCTCGTCCAGCAGCTCCTCACGGCAGACACACTGCTGCTCTGCGAAGCACAGATGCAAAATGGGGCTGCGCGAAGTCCGGCTATCAAATAATTCAAAGTTATATATATATATACATATATGTAGATATACATACATGAATATATACATGTATATGTTTGTTTTTTTATATGCGTGCGTGGGTGTGTGTGTGTGCCCCTTGGAATCACAAGGATCCTGTTGGATTGTTTTGCTTCATAATTTTCTTTCAGCACGGCATTTCACTGCGACTGTGCCCATCGAAGCTACCAGTGAAATGGGATATCCAGCTTGGCCAACTGGACGTACCTGCAACCATTTTTAAGTTTCCGTGAAGGGCAGACAAGAACGTACGTCGTCATCCTGTCGGCTCGTCGCATCGTGGAGTTTGACTTCTGGCCTTCAACTAAAGGCGCTCAGGCCCCCACACCTGGTTTTTCAGGATTTGGTTTCTTAGGCTGGCGTGTTCCTCTCCCTTCCATTTGGTTCCCTTCTCATCTTTGTCCCCTTCACACCCCTCTTTTTCCTCCTTTCTTTCATGGCTCCTGTCTTCATGTCCTGGCATTTCATTCCTTCTTTCTTTTGCGCACACAATGGTCCGGCCCTTAGTGTGTCCGGCCCTTGTGTACTTTAAACCCAGGTTTCAGGTCGCCCAGGTCTGAAAGTGAGGTGGGATTCATTGTTTGTCCCTGCGCACTTGGTTGCTTTTTCACCGCAACCACGTACACCCTTGTCCTGTCTTGTCCTGTTTTCATGTCTTCATCTTTTTGCCCTTGCTGCGCGCACACGTGCACATTCGTCTTAACCTTAGTTTTTCTCGCCTCCCCTCGCGGGAGGCGTGTGAGGAACCTTTTGGGTTTGAGCAGAGGGCCACGACTCCCAGGCGCGTGTCCTGGCCAACGAAGACCGCACGCCAGGGAATTAAAAAACGTACCTGCTATTGTTAAACTGTTGGTTCATGTACCTGGTGTTGTTCTGGAAGTGTTTAGGTCTTCAGGTGCTTCAACCTGTTTGAGATGGCCTCCAACTGCTTGCGTTGCCTCCAACCCACTCCTTCACCTTGAGCTTTGGAGATCTTTAATTTACCTGTAAAGGGCTAATGCACTTCTCGCCGTCATCCTGTCGCTCGTTCGTTTTTCGTTTTGAGCTCTGGGGATCTTTAACTTACCTGAACCCTTAGGCGGTTTACTTAGGCTGGCGCGTGTGTGTGTGTGTGTAACCCTTGGGATCAAAGGGAACCTTAAGGTTTGGAACAGGGGGACGGGACACCTCTGGCATATCCCGTCCAACGAAGAGGATGCCAGCAGGTGCTGATACAGTGGGGGACGCCCCACTGTGTACCTGTTCCACTACTTAGGAGAACAGGAGGAAATGGTACTCGACACACTTGTGCGTCGGTGCCTTTCCTTCTGTTCTCCTCTAGACTACCCTATAGGTTGCAGGTAGGCCTCCAAACTTTGCAAGGGGTTCTTTAACCTGAACTTTGGCCTCCACCCACTAGAATGGACCCCCAACTTTTGCTGTTTTGCTGTCTTGTTTGTCTTGCGCTTCTTGTCGCCTACTAGCGATGGCCCCCAACCTGCCTTCGACGGCCTCCAACCTAAGAGCGAAGACCTCCAACTTTGACCGCTTTGCTGTCTTGTGGTTTCGTGTCTCCAACCTACTAGCGATGGCCCCTCAACCTGCCTTCGACGGCCTCCAACCTAAGAGCGAAGACCTCCAACTTTGACCGCTTTGCTGTCTTGTGGTTTCTTATCTCCAACCTACTAGCGCCTCCAACCTAAGAGCAAAGACCTCCAACCTTGACTGCTTTGCTGTCTTGTGGTTTCTTGTCACCAACCTCCTAGCGATGGCCTCTCAACCTGCCTTCGATGGCCTCTAACCTAAGAGCGATGACCTCCAACTTTTGCACCTTGTTTTACTCAGGTTTTTTGACCGGTTGGCGTGTGGCACCGCTTTCAGTTCAGTACACCCTATCCTAAGTGTGTTTGGCTTCGCGCCAACCCGGGATGAGCCGTAGAGTGCCTCCCGTGGACCCGTCGAACGGGGGTTTGTCGTTATCTCCCCTGCCCGGAGATGTAAGTGTCCGGAGCGGACAGCAGATGGCTTACGCCACAAGAAGTGGGATGTCTGTCTCATTTTTGGAATTCTAAGTTGGCTCATGCCTTTACGTGACCGCAGCGGTCAGAGGTGGCCGCCCGCGGGCATGCCCCAACTGGTCCCAGCCCCCGGATTTTTTTAAAGGTTTTTTGGAACCTTTCGCGAGCTTGGCCCCCCCCCTCCCCCTTCCCTCCTCCTTTCTTTCTTTGCTTTATGGTGTTTTCCTGAATGCAATACTCAGGATCACCCCTTTCTTTCTGTGGTGTGTCCCTGGACGACTGTTCGTAGCTGGGAGCACCTGCCTTTTCCTTTTCTCTCCTCTCCCTTTCTCTCCCTCTCTCTTTCTTTCCTTCTCTCTTTCCTCGCTTCACCCTCTTCCTTGGGTGTCCCTGGATATTCGTCATGGCTGGGAGCCCTTCCTTTTTGGTGTGTCCTTGGACGCTTGTGTCGTAGCTGGGAACACCTGCTTCCTTCTCTCCCTCCTTCTCTTTTCCTCCTCCCCTCCCCCGTCTTTCCTCGCGCGCGGCGTGTTTACAAGCAAACTAGGCTTCTGCAACAGGTTTTTCAAATGAGGTTTGGGCTGTCATCGGTTTGTCCCCGTTCATTTGGTTTCCCTTTCATCGGCCCCCACCGACATCTGTTATTTTTCCTTCTTTTCTTTCATGTCTTTCTGTCTTCATGTCTCTTCATCCTCATCCTTTCTTTCTCTTGCGCGTACTTTCGTCCGGACCTTAGTTTGCACGCACGCGTACTCTACTTACAACGAGGTTCAGGTGGCCCAGGTTCGTTGCAATGAGGTTTGGCTCATCGGTTGTCCCTCTTCACTTGGCCCCTTTTCATCGGCAACCACACACACCTTTGTCTGTCTCGTCCTTTTCATTTTCATCTGTCCCTTTTGCGTGCACATGTGCCCGCCTCCTTTCCGGGCAGGATGTGTGGCCTCCCTTCGGGGAGGCGTGTGTGTGTAACCCTTGGAATCAAAAGAACCTTAAGGTTTGGAACAGGGGCACGGGACACCTCTGGCATTTCCCGCCCAACGAAGAGGATGCCAGCAGGTGCTGATACAGTGGGGGACGCCCCACCGTGTACCTGTTCCACTACTTAGGAGAACAGGAGGAAATGGTACTCGACACACTTGTGTGTCGGTGCCTTTCCGTCTGTTCTCCTCTAGACTACCCTATAGGTTGCAGGTAGGCCTCCAAACTTTGTAAGGGGTTCTTTAACCTGAACTTTGGCCTCCACCCACTAGAATGGACCCCCAACTTTTGCTGTTTTGCTGTCTTGTTTGTCTTGCGCTTCTTGTCACCTACTAGCGATGGCCCCCAACCTGCCTTCGACGGCCTCCAACCTAAGAGCGAAGACCTCCAACTTTGACCGCTTTGCTGTCTTGTGGTTTCGCGTCTCCAACCTACTAGCGATGGCCCCTCAACCTGCCTTCGACGGGCTCCAACCTAAGAGCGAAGACCTCCAACTTTGACCGCTTTGCCGTCTTGTGGTTTCTTGTCTCCAACCTACTAGCGATGGCCCCTCAACCTGCCTTCGACGGCCTCCAACCTAAGAGCAAAGACCTCCAACCTTGACTGCTTTGCTGTCTTGTGGTTTCTTGTCACCAACCTCCTAGCGATGGCCTCTCAACCTGCCTTCGATGGCCTCTAACCTAAGAGCGATGACCTCCAACTTTTATTGCACCTTGTTTTACTCAGGTTTTTTAACCTAGGTTGGCGTGTGGCACCGCTTTCAGTTCAGTACACCCTATCCCAAGTGTGTGAACAGCAGCTCCAACAGCAACGCCGCTCGCTGATTCACCTCACACGCCGTCGTTGGCGGTAAGCCCTGCTTCGGACGCAATGGCTCAACCGAGCCCTGCCACGCCCACCTTGGGCTCCCTGAGCTCACACTGCTCACGAGCGAACATGTGTTCTTGGACATGGGTGGTGGAATGGTTCTCCTGAACACACTTCACATTCCCAGAAGTGAAGCCATGAGCCTGTAACGGGCTTTGGCGCAGGATTTCAAGATTTGGGTCTCATCTGTATTAAGCAGTAGTGACCGTCTTTGAACGTTGTTCGACATGGCTTTGGTGAGTGCGTCCGCGAGTTGCGCTCCCGAATCTATCCACACTCTACCTGGAGACTCGATGCCCAGAACAGCTGAAGCCATGACTCCAGAGCGCTGGTCGTCACTTTCTTGCACGCCCTGGATAAAAGGGGCTGATTGGCGCCGAATAATTCTTGGGTATGCTTTGATGAGCGCCAACAATGACCACGCCAGCACAGGAATCTGGTCACATGATGTCGGAACTCCTTAAGGCCTATGGGTTGAATCGCGACGCTTACATCATGATGTCTCTTGTCGCCTGCAAAACTTTTTTGCACGGATCAACTCAAACAACTCGGGAGGCGTATTGACCGTTGCACACTGCAAACTTCGTACGACTCCCCTTTGCCTGAAATCGGGGAGTCATGTGGGAATCAATCTTCTTTCGGAGGTATGGGTTGCTGTGCTTCGCACGTACTTTCTCAACTGGTTCGGATGTCATTTTCTAGCCTCTGACGTTCTTCGGCTTCAGGGGAAGTTGGTTTGACTCACAACTCCTCGGATTCTTGATGCGGTTGACCTGAAAAAGAACTACATTTAGGGCGGTGCAATTATTGCTCTGTGGCTTGCCGTTGTTCTGTTGTTAGGCCTTTTGCGATTGGTTGATGTTGTCTGATGTCTCTGGGTTCTGTTTCCGTGGCTGGCTGAGCATTTTCAGGGTTGGGTGAATTTTCCAAGTGAGGTAGCCGTGCGGCGATGTTATCTTCTTGGGCTACTACTTTCATTGAAACCCAAGTGCCACCAAAGCATTGGTCTGATGCTGCGTGACCCATTGACCCTTTTGACACTGGATTCGGTCGGGTCATTGTTCACAAACTTTGCCGGGCTCGTTCCGGGAGTGCCAAAGATCGCCCATCTGTGCATTGATGGCCTGCACTCGCTGAAGCCTCTGGGCTGGGCAATCAAGGATCTTCGCTTGCCGTCTGAGGCTTGGGCCGAACGAACTCGGCTTAGAAGCAACCCTTACGAGACAGGACGCATGCGAAAATGCCTTAGCTTGCTCTTCACTCGATGGGTGCTGCCGCTGCGGTTTGGTTGGGACTGAACAAGAGACGTTTCTGTCTTGTCTTCTGCGGTCGTCCCGAATTTGCATCTCGCGTTGGAGATGAGATCATTGAGATTCAAGGAGGAAAAGGCCTGTGTCTGTGTCTGAAAGACACAAAGGCAGGCTTCGTAAACGTGTGACGTTGCAGCTCCTACCGGCCTTGTTCTTGACACAACGTTTGCTGCCGGTCACATCAGAGAAGCACTGGGCTCCAAGCATCCGCATGGCCTCTGAGACCTTGGTCACGGTCCCAATGCCTTCGAGCGTCCTGTCAGCATCCAGACTTTTCCGCCAAGATCAATTTCGAACCCCTGCGCAGGATCAATGCCTGCAGATCCTCTAGCTTGATCTTTCGATTTCTGGGCTTTGCCCACAACACATCAGCCCTGGCAATGTAGCAAGCCCTTAGCTCATCCGACAACTGTTGACAATGAAACAGCGCCTGTTCGGCATCAAAAATCGACGATACAAACCTCTTTTTCCCCAATGTACACCCAGCAGCGACACAGCATGGAGCTGAAGCTTCTTTAAGAAACACTTCCCAGAGCGTTGAGAATCACTCGCATGATCAGTGTCCTTCGGCCACACGTTGGCCAACAACTTCAGCCTTTGTTGAAAAATCTGCAAGTCATCCTTTGAAGGACCAAAAAGCTGGAACCTAATGGGCTAGTTAGTTGGTTGTAGCCACCAGGCCCACGCAATGATTCCGACATCTCCTCCCAGATGCTCGCGATTACTGATCAAATCCGACCGGCAAGAGTGGCCTTTCAAATCAGTGATCAGGAGCTTAGCAGCTCCTCTTCAACACAACCTCAACTCTATCCCTTCCCAACAGCAACGTGGCTCGCCATTTCACCCCACACGCCGTCGTCGAAGGTAAGCCCTGCTTCGGATGCAATGGCTCAACCCAACCCTGCCACGCCCACCTTGGGCTCCCTGAGCTCACACTCACGAGCGAACATGTGTTCATGGACATGAGTGGTGGAATGCTTCTCCTGGACATACTTTCACAATAAGTATATATGAATATATATAGAGAGAGATAGATAGATAGATAGATAGATAGATAGATGGATGGATGGATGGATGGATGGATGGATGGATGGATGGATGGATAGATAGATAGATAGATAGATAGATCGAGAGAAAAGTATCCCGTTGTTGCGCGTGTTTGTGCAGGCCTGATGGTGCTTGCAGGCATTTTGGCACTCTGGGTTGAGTAAAGTCTTTGGAGCGCGTTGGGAAAGTGAGTCTTTGACTTGCTGGTGTTTTCAGCACTATGGGGTATGGGGCCAGATCTGTTGGTTCCTGCCCTGCAGCGTCTGAGTGTCGGACTTGCTGCAATTTGCATGCTTTTTGGTCATGATTGACCTGCCGAAATTTGCACGCAGGACTTTGGGGATGTGTCTGACCGGCTGGTACTTACAGCACTCCAGGGCTCAATCTTGTGGTATTTGCAGGTATGTTTGTTTGGATGTATTATTGGTTTGTCACATTTCCCAAACTCAGGAGCTCATGCACACTTGCCTCGGCGAAAACCAGGCCTCTGATCCACTGTTGTTTGATATAAGAAAACTGCTTTTCTTTCGCTTGTTCGGGCGACTGGTGAAATTTCCAACAGGCTGGAGGGAGGCCCAATCAAAATGAGCAAGAGCGTATCAGAGCGTATCTGCTAGTTGTTGATTTCAGAAATTTGGTAAACTGTGACAAGAATCACCCAGAAGCAAAACACTGCCAGTCGGCTGGTATACATAACTGAATTTGTGTACTTGGTGTACAGATGTGTACGCGTGTACGTACGTATGTACGTGTGTTTGTGTTACACTCACATGCAAAGAAAGACACGTTCTTGATGCACTCTACAATGTGGATGCACAAACAATGCTCCTCATTTTCAGACACCAGCTGCACCCCAGCTGGGATAACATAGGGACTTGCCTTGGAAGCATTGAGCCATGCTCACCCACGCCGGAAAACCGCAGCCGATTCACCTCTCCCTTTTGAACTCAATCTACCCATCCATGTTGGGGGAACAAAACTACACAGCTAGAATGGCAATACGCAGCTATAACTTTGCTTTAGAAAAATCTTGGAAAGGAGCAAGCCAACGGAAGCTGATCCAGAAAACACTTCTTATGTATCTGTATCTTCTTGTACCATAGAGAATCTGATGCCTGGGCAAATCTTGCTTTCGCAGGCATGAAAAAGGGTTATCAAAGTGTCCATGTTCACAAATCGTTCAATCAAGCCCTGAAACTTGGTGTCGCAAATACTTGGTGCTTGAACTTTTCACAAAAGAGTTTGGAGAGGCGACCAAAGAATATCTGCACTGGGATCGAATTCAAGACTGTATTTGACAACCCCTACGCCTGAGCACCAGCAGTTGGAGTCTGCCTCACTATACCAACAAGCCTCTGCCTGGGAACCAACACCCGAATCTCCACTGTCCGATCAACTTGGCCAACGTGCTAGCATAGGAATCGCAGTGCTCTCTGGCTCAGCAGTTGCGGCAGTTATGGCATTTGAGTTGTCAGTGGTGGCGGCATTTCCAGTGTTGGCAGCGGCGCCACACATGTTGCCTAGCAAGTGAAATGGTGTGGTGAATTCCCGTAGGAGTGTTCAAAAGCAAAAAAGCTAGGACTGAAGTAGAGTGTTCAAAATTCCATCTTGTACATCCGGCATTGAGCCCGCACTCCTTCTTTGTGCAATGTGCTCTTGCCTCCACAGCCACCGCACCCCATCATACCACATCCTGAGCATCCTGGAGAAAGAAGGCCGTGACTTCAGCAACGAAGCAAAGACTTGCTCCACAAAGGGCAAATACAGAAGTTACAGCAGGATCTCCTCCCATGGACATCATTTGCCCCGGCATCATTCCGCCTGAGAGAATCCCAAGAAATCTGTTTTTCTCAGCTGGAAAAGAAAAGCTAAGCTTTTCCCATTGGTCCAAGCTCGTCGAGTCCGCGGCCAAAGCATCCAGGCATCATCTCAGTCAGAGCAAGTCATCCCTCCATGGAGGAGGTCCACAAGTCATTGCTTCGGTCTCACTGCCTCTGAATACTCCATTCAGGAGCTTCTCAAACAATTGCTAAGGTCTGCACGTCCATCATGCCCATCATGCCCATCATGCCACAGCCCATCTGGTTCATCATGCTGAAGGCATCCATGCCCATGGGGTACAACTGCATATTGCATGCACCTTTGACATGAAAGTGCATTCATTCTCCGTGGATCAACACAGGCGTGATGGTATGAAACACCTTTGGGTTGATCAACATTCCACCTTGTCCAAAACCTATCTTGCACTGAAGTAAGCTGACTACGGCGGTTGACCTTTGTTACTTCAGTTTGCAACTTCTTTCACAGTGTTCCACTAAATGTTTGGCTTTAACGATGCAGTTTTGGAGAAGAGTTGGTTTGAATCCACTGAATCCTTGTATTGACTGGCTGCCTTAACAAAATGTTCTGTCCGGGCATCGCACCTCTTCACTTTCATGTTGACAGGGAAACCCCACCTTGTAGCGCAAGGTTAGCAGCCTGACACACGGAATCTGATGCATCTCCACCTAGGTCACACTAGGTCACACTGTCAGGAGTCTGGGAGTCGGGACTTTGCGGCTTGCACCCACATTCACACATTCAGGAAACTACTAGGAGCATTCTTGCTAGTAGGACCAAAGGGCATCGCTACTAGGAGCAAGGACGCTACTAGTAGCTCCTGACCATACTACTAGGAGCAAGAAGCTACTAAGATTGCTACTGAAGCTCGCATGGTCTTGAATGATCTTGATGGCGTCCGCCTCAAAAATGGAAAAGCACACAGCAAACAATGCAAGGATGCAAAACCAAAGCCATTTAGGCAGCCATGGCAGCTGCACGCGGCTTTTCCTGTTGGTGCCCTCGACCTTCTGTCTGTGAACATCCCTCTTTGAGTCTCAGTCTGCAGAACCTTGTTTCACTCTCTAAGGCTTTAGGGGGACTACGTAGAACATTTTGGAGGTTGATTTGGTCCGTCATGAAACAAACAACCTCATATGTTTTGAAGGGCCTGTCAATGTAATAAGCAGTAATTTTTAAATTCACTCTTCCTCCGTCTCACTGCCTCACTGTTCTGCAGCAAGACATACTTGGCTGGAACTGCAAGATTTGGCAAATGCCTCTCAATACATCCCAACGCTCATTCACAACAATGCCCAAGTAAGTGAGAAGCAAAGCCGAAAGTGTGAAGCTACACCCGGCACAGCCGAAGGCACACCAAGCCTTTCCAGCATCTCCTTCACCACGGCCGAGTTCGTGGCCGTTCCCTCAAAAGGACGTAGAGTCAGAGTAAAGGAAATGGCATTCAACGTGTAAAGCAAAAGCAAAAGTGGCAAAAGCGTGCGTCCACTCACCTGGGAAGTGCTTCCTCCGCCGCCGCCGCCGCTGCTGCCGCCGCTACCGCCGCCGCCACCGCCGCCACCACCGCCACTGCCACTGGTGCTGCCCCCGCTATTGCCACCAGGCATGCTGCCGTTCATCCCACTGATCACTTGAATGACCTCACCCAATTTGTATTGGCAACACGAGCCAATCAAGACAGGAAAAGGCTTGAGGGCACGGCCCACGTAGATGCATCTTTGATATCCATTCTCCTGCTGAAAACAGGCCGAAAATTGAAGTTGAACGTACCCCCTAAACGCACCATTGTGACAAGGATCCAAAAGTAAAACCAATCTCTTCCCATTAAATCTGTCCAGTGTCCAGTGTCTTTTAGGTTTCTGGCCTGCTGACCAAGGTGGTCAAGACCTGGATGACCTGGCACTGGAGGCATGGAATCCATACCTGTCTGTATAGAATAGATGACGAACATGGAAAATGAAGTGTGTCTAAAGGGAAGAGGTGATACTGCATCATGCTGCCAAAGATTCCTCTACATACTTCAAGCAGAATGAAGTTTATCTCGCTTTCTGTTTGCCACTGTCGAGCCAGCGGAGGACGAAATGTTAACAAGTCCAAATTTGTGCGGCAAATGTCGGCCGGTCAATTGTCATCCCCTTTCAATTTGTATTAGAAAGGCCTCCAGGTTAGAAAATTGAGAAAGAGTTGTAACGATATTATTATTAATATGCAACAAGTGAAAGCCCCTTTTGTCTGACCAGTGCATGCTTGCCTGCTCAGTCAGAATACTGATGACAGCCATTGCATCGGCTGTGAAAGTCAGTCGTTCTGTAAAGCATGGCTTGCCAGGCTGAAGTTCCATTGGCGAGTGTGTCCCACAGTCCAAAGGATGTAAGAGGGCAAACAGGCACCCGTTTTAGACTTTGCCTTGCATCTGGCCCCTAGTGCTTCATGTGCGACCCTTTCGCATTGCAAAGGCCTCATCCGACTGCAAAGTCCGAAGTGACGTCAACGCCTCAATGATGAAAAGCCCGAGACTACCATTCTCTGGTGAGTTCTGTCAAAGCTGACATCCTCTGGTACATAGCTAAGACTGGAGCATCATCTGTCAGGTTTGGACACTGCCTCGTGCAAGCAGCGGGACCCAATGGAAACTTTAGGTGAGAAGACAGGTACCAGTCGGCAAATGAGTGCCTTTTGATCAAAAGGATTGCCAGTTGTCAGTCAGCAGTTGGGCTGCTTCTGAAATGCTCCCTCAATTGAATCTATATAGTCATAGTCTATATACATACTGTATATACTTCCTTTCTGAAATACTCCATGTCACTACCTTGGCACCTCTGAATGAGGGACACTCACCCTGCACCAACCCAAGCATCCAAATGGAGCCAACACCCTAAATCTGGGCTAGTCTGAAGAGCAAATCACCCCCATGCATCTCGAGCTTTATGGCCAAAGCTAGTGAAAAGTGAAACAATAAAACTTTCTTTAAAAGCCCTGGGGGGTAGGCTGCTAGTACTAGTAGAGGTGAGGTATGTTAGCTAGGTAGGTAGCTAGTAGCTTAAGTAGCTACTACCTAGGACGCAGGATCGCGCTACTCATTTGGTTGGTAGATTTTTAGGGAAACTAACTATAAACCTTTTTGCTTCTACAGGGCCGTTGCTCTTGCTTGATCTTCACTACTCCTTACTGCCAGTCGGGAATATACTGGGCGCCACTACACCTGCTGATGATTTGAAGGAAAACGACGCTTTTTGAAAAAAAGAACGCATCATCCACACCGTGTCCCTCTTAGGCATGGGCTCCAAGAGGGCTGCGATCTTCCTCGATACCTGGCATGATGGTTGTCACCAGGTTGGATTCCGTCTTCCAGGTAGAACAAACGGTTCAGCAAGGATCGAACCAGTCACAAGTCAACAACGAGCAAAACATCCACATGCATACCATCAAATGCGGGCTCTTTAGGCTCTTTTGCCACACTCTGGATAAGGAGGCCAACAGCTATCGGGCTACTAGATACAAATTAAAAATATTCCCACAAATAGCAAGAAGAAGGATGACGGATTTGGCTGGAAAGCAGGCCCACATATTGAGCTACATAACAGGAATTCCCATTCCTGCAATGCTTCGCACTCCGCTAGAATTTCACACCCTCCCATGGTCTCACACCAACTTTTGAAAATGCTGACAAAATTGCAAGAAGACAGTGTCTCTCAGCGCCTCCTTGTTCCCAGGATTGTGGAGCGCTTGTGCTGCGGCCAGCGCAGCTGCCAGCTGTCCTGTGAACACCATCAATGGACAGAGCCTCTCTGCCTCTCTAGAACTCTTCAGGCTTCACTTTGTTAATATTTGGTCCATCTTGGCCCCAGGAAGATCTGGGGTATTGTTGAGGGTTTACCGGAGAGCTCTTGAACCTCCAAAATAGAGCTAACAGTGTGGACATACATGTTATGAGCTCACGGAACATGTGACTTTGAAAAAAGAGCAATGGTTCAAAGGATACGTGGCTGCACGTGCAAATCCCTGCAAGGTTGAAAGGGAAGCGTCTCGGTCAAACATACAAGGCAACACAACTCATGTCCCCAAGCTTGTTCAAGAGTGCAGCAACACCTGGAACATTGGACCTCTAAAGACATTAAAGAATCGATTAAAGTGCAGCGCGCACACACACACACACAAAGCCAAACCTACATGCTTTCCCTTTGATATCC